GACTTCTTCAAGTTGATGACCATTAATCCCCAGGGGCTACTGCAGTATTCAAACTCACTCACCTTCAGTAGGTGTCAAGGCAGACTCAAGGAAACCAAGTACCAGCACTACTATCACTTAGCTACACTCCTAGTTAGTAGTAGTAGTAGCAGTACCAGCCTTGGTTTCCTTGAGTCTGTCCTGACACTCACTGAAGGTAGTATCAGCGCAGAAGACTACCGTCACGTAAGACTAATCTAGGCGCTGTTCTGGCCTGCATTTGGAAAAAGCGGCCAACACCGGATCCAGTCTGGTCTTCTTGACTCATGGTGAAGATGGAGTGCGGTTTACGCTAACTACGTCTGCTATCGCTTTGAACTACCCCCTATCATCGTCATCTTCATCATCATCATCATCATCATCATCATCATCATCATCATCATCATCATCTTTCATCATCATCATCATCATCATCATCATCATCATCATCATCATCATCATCATCATAGTAGGAAGAAACTACTGTGACTTGATTCTCGTTCCTAAACCAAACCGAGCTATACTATCGACTGCCAACATTTCAGGCCACGGTAGTTAGCGCAGCTTGGTGGCTTGATTCTCTGCTGTTCATTTGAAGGGGCGCCGCAATAATGCGCGGAACTCGAGCTGTGAATCGAACTCACTCTTCCTCTCTGTCCCAGGCGCCAGTGATTGGCTGACATTGTGTGAACTCGTCGTCGTCGTCCAACGCATGCACTTGGACCTCACATATATGATGAGGTGTGCCATAAAGGCCGCATTTAGCTGGGGGCATTGAAGTCTGCCCATACATAAGTGTGCATCAAGGTATCCTATCAGCTGACACATTGCGGTAGTTTAAAATAATTCTGTTTCTTTTGCTGTTAATGTAATTTGCAGGATGCTAGATGAATCTCGCTCTCGTACTCTCTCGCCATACCCACAGTAAGTAACAGTGTGGTAGATGGGCTTTCAGGACTCGCTCGTCCGGTTGTGCCTTCGGACTCACTCTCCAGCCCCGCTAGGAACCCCAAAGCAGCTAATGCTATAGGCACAATGACATTACCGGCAAGAAAAGGGAGACTGGAA